AGTTGCACATTTCACCCTGGCCCGCCAACCACCCGCCCACCATCATGTGGATTTGTTTAGAAAAATTATCCACTAATCTTCTCAAATCATCATTTTCCTTTCAAAGCATATCAAACAACTATTCAGGTTTAAAATATTAGTATTGAAGGACATTTTAAAGTCTAAATGATCAGGCCAAGTTGTAGCCTGATCAAGTTGATAGTATCAGTAATTTTTTGATTTTGGAGATTTGAGAGCTCTAATTGCTCTCAAAGAAATCAAACTTTTTTCACTGATGTGAATTTGTCCTGTGAAACAAACTAAATTATTGTGATTTAATATGAATAACATGCTTCTTCTTCGAGAATCTATGTTTGGATCTTCTTGACTCAAATCCACATTTTGTAGTAGTTCTTGACCTCACATATCTTTAGTAATCCAAACGTAACTTGTTAGAGAATATTCTTTTAATCACCTATCTATTATGTGTTTAAATCAATGTCAACGAATTATAGAGTCAAAAACAAAAGAAAAATCAATATATCTATATTTAAAATGACTGTTAAATTATATTTAAACAAAAAAACGTTTTTACAATGACTGTTAAGAAATAGAATTTGCCTCTTGGCTTAACAGAGATAAGATCATAAGAACATTCACTATCCGATTCAAAAACTCTTGTGATTAACAGAGATAAGAATCAATATTAATATCGTTATTGTAGCCATTGAAGCAAATATGTTATACAAGTTATGAGAGATGGTCAGTTTCCATCGTATATATGGCCTTAGTTAGTTGGCCCAGCCTAGCTAAACCATTGGATCTTGGAAGAGGCATATTTGCTTTTTAATTTTTTTATGGACCCTTGCTTGTTTGTGTTTTGGGTTTTTTCTTACTGTGTTTTCCATTTACTACTAATCTACTATGTTTAGTGTCACGGTCACATTGAATTCCAAGATAATAATAAAATGATAAATGTTCTAAATTTTATAACCAAGTATTGAAAAATTGGGTGGATTAACACCCAAACCAAAGCTATGTGGCCAAACCGAGAAATATGGATACGAACAACAATAGATGAAAGGAAAAGAGAATCACTTTGGTTCACAAAAAGCAAATTATTCTTTCAAATCTTCTCATTAGGAACGACCGAAGAAGTTTTGTTGCGTGTCTTTTCCCAATTTTTTGCTACCAAACATTTTCATTTGTGTCTCTATCTTCCGTACGTCTGCATTACAATAATTATATCCACCATATTAATTTGATAATTCTCGTTTTTTATCTCTAAATTATAGATTTTGCAGGACTTTTATTTAGTTCTAGTGTAACACATTCATGTCCTACTTTATTTGTTTGACACAAAGAGGGAATATTTTTTTTTTTTAATTATTAATGGAGGTAAAAGGTCATTTAACAGAATATTGTACAAATAATTGTAATCTTGTAATTAGTAAACTAAACTCCTGCATATTTGAAACAAGTTACAAGAATGAGTCAAGGAATATAACTTTCGTTGTCACAAACTTAAACTAGAAAAAGGTTCTTTACTATAGTTTCTACAAATACAAAATTTATCATTAACAATTTTTTTACGTTTGTTGTCTTCTAAATCAGCACGAAACAAGTGGACTAGTGCGTAACATTCTTTCAGATACCATCTTTTTTTTTTTTGAAATTTTCAGATACCATCTTCCTAAATACACAGGTGTCATTATTCTATATACCATTTTCCCCCTCTAACACATATACGAAGTAATCACTTATTGCAATCCTTAATTTGGGCTGCAAATACTGGTGAATGAAAGAAATAGTTAGTTGTATAAGAAGAATAATAATGTGTGGAATTTGGCTTTTTTGTTCTTTTCATTTTTTGTAAGAGTATCAATTTTATGAGAAATAAGTCAATTTCCTATTTATTTTGTAGAGGTTGGTAAAATTTAGACAAATGCAATTTCACTCAAAATGGTAGATTATTAGAAAAGTCCCCAAAAAAACTTTAATTCAACTCATTCATTTTATTTTATTTATCATTTTACAATTTTGAACAATATATTTTGTTAACTAATTCGTAGCTATCTAAGCTACACGAAATCAGAAACGGATACGCGGAAACAAATTTTTAAGAAAAATAGGAAATGGAAACG